AAGGCCTCTTTACTCTTTCCAGGTGAGACTTGAGGGAAGCATTGGATGGGGGAGAAGTTGAAACTGTTGACTAACTGCGGATACCTGCATCACCAAGGAAGCAGATTTGCTAGGTTCTCCTTTCTGCCCCACTGTGAGGACCCTAGCTGCAGATACTGATGCCAGAATTGACAGCTCCTATAAATAGGAGAAAGAGCTGTTTTCCTCTCTTACATATCAAGGAGATATACAATCTTGCTCTCAAATCTCACAGCCAGCAAAAGCTTCAAAGAAATCCACTGCAGTGTTTTCCTTAATTAATTGGACAATTTGGGTATGTGAGAGAAAACAGAAAAACATCTGGGGGAAAAACATGAACCATGTCACAGTTTGTTTTTCCCTAAATCACCCTGATTGACTTGTAATCTCCCTGAATCCTACAGCAGCAGACACTGCAACTCCGCCGGGTATCACACTGCTTGTCAGTTCTGTGAACTGCCTCGCCACTTTCAATTGCTTACCGCTGCCGTCTCTGCATTATTTTCCCTCCCTTTCCTCGATTCTTAGTTCTGTTACCAGAGTCGGCTGTCTGGAAGATGGTGGGGACAATGTGTGCATGCTCAATTGCTCAGTCGTATCCGACTCTTTACAACACCATAGACTGTAGCCTGCCAGGCTCCTCTGTCCATGGGATTTTTCAGGCAAGAATACTGGAGTGGGTTGCCATTTCCTTCTCTGGGGGATCTTCCCGACCCAGGGGTCAAACCCGTGTCTCCTGTGTTTCCTGCGTTGACAGGAGGATTCTTTACCACTGAGCCAGACAGTAAGCAACACACTCAAATTCCAGAACTAGATGGTTACTGGTAATAGGTCTGCCTGGAGAAAATCTTTTTTCCTTGCTACAAAAATCTAACTTCTAACAAACAGCCTTATTAAGCTTGCAAAGTGTGAAACTTTATGTTTAGCTGGGTTAAATGCAATTTTATCTGATTGCAGGAGGGTCAAAGCAGTCAAAATACAGTTAGCTGAGAAAACCCTCAGAAAAATATTTATATTATGCACAGCACAGGATATCATCTAGTAAGAAGCACAAATTAGCATTCTGTCCCTCTACACTCTTGGGTCTACCGCCTTCATGCCTATTTTTTTGGACTTGTGACTAACTCTGAAACTAAAAACAAATTCTTCTTAGGGATTAAAGCATCAGCTACAGCAACACAGGCCTTGGAAATCGTGACTGCCTTAAGTCTGATGTTTTCTGATAAGTCATTGGCTATTTCCACTTGTTAGCATATCTGCCAAACAATATCCCACCAGATTCTACCGAGACGAAGTTCGGGGCAAAGTCAGTCGTATTTCCCACTTGTGCAGAGAGGGTAGTTACAAGAGAAAAGGAGGAAATAAGGAAGGGACAGATGAGCAGAGATGAGAGGGTTGGAAGGATTCTTTTTCTATCTTCCACAATCTGCCAACAAGGTTTCTTTAGTTTGACCGGGGTTTTTCTGCTGACTATGAGTTCTGGAAATTTCATATTTAAAAAACAATAATAAACCCTCTCCCCCACCCCTACATACACACCCACTGAATCTTGACCAAGCAATAAGTTTTGAAGATACGTGCGGTAATATGGTTATAATGCAAAATTTAGGCCTGCTGCAACCTATCTCATATACAGACCTACTACTGTTATTGCTACTTTACAGAAGCAGGAACTGAGTACAGAGAGGTTAGGTAACTTTTCCAAGGTAACACAGCTGGTAAGTGACAAAGCCACCACTTTGGCCCCTCCCCTGATGGGGAGTGCATCTCAGGAAAGACAAGCTTATAAAAAGATGTCTATAAGCCAATGTGACGAGTGCCAAGATGTACAAAGTAGTAGAGGAACACAAATTCTGCTGAGGTGATGAGTCTGAAAAAAGACTCAGGAGAGATGAGGTTTAAGTGAGGCTTCAAAGGACGAATAGGAGTATTCCAAATAGCCCAGGGGAAGCCAGGCTTGCCAAGCTGAAGGCAGATGTGAGCAAAGACATGGGATTGCCAAGTGCATGGCAAATTTTGGGGACTAGTAAGTGGGAAAATGACTGAATTTAATCATGACTCTCAAGGAGTCTTCTTTAGAGAGGCATGCCTGAGGAACTGTCATCAAAGCAAACAGTCTTGTGTTTCCACTCTTCAGGAAAGAGTCTATTTTCCAGGCTACCAAGTCAACTTGTTACAATGCACAAATATTCGCCTCTGTGTAAGTAATAGCAGTGGATGTAAACCAAATTTTAAATCCCGAAGATCCCTGAGAATGCCAGGACCACACTCTCTCCCCACAAATGTGCTGTTCTATTGCCTAGGACCTCCAGCTGGGAAAAAGACCAAGGCAATAACTGCAAACTGCACATCACAATAAATTCTGCTATATGCCCTCTAGCCTCCACTCATGCAATTCCAGGCCTCCGATATTGGCCCCAAATTAAAACTACGAGGACAACTCAACCCTTATAATATGAGAATACTTATCAAACTTCTTCCTGAATGCAGCACAGGGTAGGAAAACACAGATGAAGACCACCTACCAGTTCTGCTGTCTGACATTTACTGATGGCTCCTGACTGGCTGCAGATCAGCAAATAATATATGGGAGTCTAGAAATGTTCACTTGTTTGTGATTCATACCAGCCCCACCAATATAAAGCTGTAAGAGTCAAAACCTTAAAAATAATTTAATAAAACAGAAACTAAACAAAACAAACAGAAAACCCCATACAGCAGCTACTTAATGGTTCCCCAGACTGAGGATGAACTGTTTCTTCCAAAACAAACAATAAAATCGGCAAGAGCCAGCTTTTGTTGGTGGGCCTGGCAATACAGAAGACACAAAGGGGGCTTTTGTGTGAACTGCTGTTTCTAGGTACGTTTTACAGGCAGTAGACCAGCTAGCTGTTCCTCTCTCATCTCCTCTATTCACAGAGGCAAAGGATGATAATTAACATCGGTCCAGGGACCAGGCAGGACGGCTCGCTCAGGGCCACTGTAATTAACCTCTGGAAGGTAAGACTACACAAATGACACTGTGGGGACACAGAGAAGGAGCAAGTGCCACAGCCTTCCTTCAGATGCTCCTCCAAACAAAAGACACTCCGACGCCATCCTTTTCTTTCTGCACGGCAGTTCAAAGGAAAAATAAAGGTCCTGGATTCGACAAAAGTGGCAGTTCGCTCCAGGAAGGAGCTTGAAAGAAAGATGGCCATAGAAATTTTCATCATACTCAGTCACAAATGGCCCTGCTGGATTCCAGCCTTTCTCTCTGTAAGAGACAGTCCTTCACATCCAGTGGGTTCACAACCCCTTCATTCACACCAAATGCCAGCTGCGAGTATGGCACATGGGAAATTCCTCATGTCAAGAAGCTCAAGAAAGAAGGGTGAGGAGGGGCTGGGCAGTGTAGCAATGGGGTCTCAGAATCATTTGGGGTCCCAGCCCCAGCCATTCTAATTCAGCCGGTCTTGGATGGTGCCAGAAAGTAGCCTAACCAAGCACCCCAGGTGCTTCTAATCCAAGTAGCTCTACCGATCTTTGATGAACTCTGCACACTGCAACAAAACCAGTGCTTAGGGCTTCCCCGGTGGCTCAGTGGTAAAGAATATGCCTGCCAATGCAGGAGACAGGGGTTTTGACCCCTGATCTGAGAGGATCCCACGTGACACAGAGCAACTAAGCCTGTGTGCCAGAATTGCAGCTCAGGAACTGCAACTACTGACCCCACGGGCTAGGGAGCCCACGCCCCAGAACAAGGGAAGTCACTGCAATGAGAAGCCTGAGCACTGCAACTAGACAGCAGCCCCCACTCTCCACAACTAGAGAAAAGCCTGTGCAGCAATGAAGAAGCCACCACACTAAAAAATCAGTAAATAAATAAACTTATTATAAAAAAGAAAAAACCCAAAAAACAAAACTGAAAACCCAGTCCTTACTAACATTCTTAGCCAGAGAGAAAAGACCAGACAACAGAAAACAAGAGAAACGACGGAAACTTGAGGAGTGAGATAGCTTGATGGGTTAGATAAGAGCTCCATAGGTGGTGTCAGGGTAAGAGGCTGGACTGGCCCTGCCACTGGCCCTCTGGTGAGAGAGGGAAGCTGGTGCCAGGGGCCAGGATGGCAGAGGGGACCGCAATATGCAGGAGCTCATCTCTGCTGTTACAGAGGCTGGCTGAGTGAAGCGGGGAAAGGCTTCACTTCTGCAGCTGGGTTTCCTCAAGAGTAGAGTGGGCCAATGAGACTACATCACTTCACCTCACATACAAACTCTTGCAAGTGGCTGCTGCCTGGAATAATAGCTGAGGAAGGCTCTGAAGCCTTGCCTAGGCTCCAAAAAACGGGACACAGAAATCAGCTGACCCTGACTTCTGCAGTCAAGGGCCGCTACTCAGGCCAGGATAAGCTAAAAACTGTTCTTGCTTTTAACATTCTCTGATTCTCTATCTGTAAAACAAGTAATAATGATACACCTGTCCTCACCAGTGCTTGGGAGTACAAAGCCTAGAGCCCAGAGTAGAAAAGAAACTCTTTTCCGTAAAAACTCTTTATAGAAGAGGTCAGAAGCAACACGGTGAGAGCGGGCAAGCCGGAACTGGAGTCAAAGAGAACAGAGGTTCAAATCCCAGCCGTGTGACCACAGGCGGGTTTGTTTTGTCTCTCAAAGCCTCGAGTTCCATGGCTATAAATGGGAATAGTAGCAATAATACCCTTCTGAGGGGACACAGTGAAGATTAAATATAAGTGTGAAGGTCTGCCTACAGCAGATAGTCAATAAATGCTAGGACTCTACACCCCCTGGCCTAGTAACAGTACCAAAGAATAAGGTACCCCAAGGTTGCATTCTACTTTCATATTCTCCTTATTCAGTCCAGCCTTGCCACAGAGTGCTCTCTCTCCCTGGCACCCACCCTGTGTCACTCACAGACACAATGGAGGGGATGGTGCGGACACCATATACACACTTGCAACGCCCCAGACGGCCGGGCAACTTACCAGAGCATCAGTGAGCACTTCTGCGCCTTCTTCACTTTCGTGGAGGGTGTCTATGTCTGTTAATTCCTGAAGCAAATCAACCACCGCTATGGACACATGTGAAGAATGTTAAGGGTAACACACACATGTGAAACAATCAATGTGTAACAAATGAGGAATACAGACAACTAGAACTGCAGACATCCTAAAAAAGTGGAGCAATCAAATTGAACTGGGAAATCAAGAAAGATCTGCTAGAAGAAGACTGGTCAGAAAAGAGGCAACTAAAAAGATGAGGGCAGGTAGGCTGGAAAACAAAACATCAGGAATACAGGCAGAAAGATTAAAATGTAAGAGGGTATATGAAGAGGAGAAGAAAGAGGATTAGGGAAGCAGGGAGGGGAGAAAATTATAACTAGAATCATATGAAGAAAATAATGTCTTGGAAGAATAACCTAACAGCTATGTGCAGGAAGCACTAAATAGCACTGTGAGGGTTGGGAATGGGCAGATGTGGGTGTGGGGAAACGTCAAGCCTGAAGGAGCAAAACCTGTTCTGAAGCTACCACACACAAAAGAGTCCATAAGTAAGACGATAAAGGTCTTATCAGGGCAGGGCAGTTTCAATACAAACTGGAAAAGAAAAAGATAATAAGAAAGATACAGGACCTATTAACAAGAATGACAGGACTTGCTCACTGCCAACTGATGTTACAGATATTTTATGAACACCTTTTGCTAAAAGAAAAATTATTCAAAGCTTTGTTTTTATTTATCTATAACTGACCAGTTGGCCATCATGAGTAAGCTTTCTGTGTTTTATCCTCTCGCACTTTAAAGTAATATTTGTGCAAAATATGGGTGTGCTATGAAACTCAATGTGTATGAAAAGAGAGAAAGTCTCTGGACAAAAGTCCTTCATGCTTATACAATCTTTATTAACAAAGTAACCAGAAAGCTTTTGACATAAAAGACCAGGTATCATAATTGACATATAGTAAACCAAAATACATAAACTGCATTAATTTTTTTAAAAAAGGGCTAATCAAACTAACCTCTAGAAATGCTGGGCGGTAAGAATTAGTAGTTCTCCCTTTCTAAACACTGCAGTACACACCATCATAATCACTAGCATTTTAAAAAACTCATCATTATGCCAAGCACTGTGCTGCTGAATTCTCACAACAGCATGATCCCTATTTTACAGACAGGAAACTGAAAGCTCAGAGTGGTTAAGTAACTTACCTAAAGGTCACTGCAACAGTAAGGGAGAATGTTAGGTTCACATGATTCCCAAAATAGTACCTCTGCCACTACTCTTCATATTAATGCAGAGGGGAATATTCACCATGTTTAACTACAACTAAATTCCAGCTAATGACCCTACTACAATAACAGAGAAAAGGACTGTCATTTATTTCCATAATAAATTATTAAAGTTCCAGGAAAAAGGACAAAATGCTGACAACTCCCCCATCATTCTCTTCATCTAAAAAGCTCCCATACTGATTCTCTTGAACAGTTTTTATGTGAGATGTAAAAATATTATTATTTATCCACTTGTTTATTTAATAAGCATGACGACATTTCATCCATCTGTTCATCCAACCACAGTGGAGTCAAATGTCTACAGGATAAGGATTTGAATCAGGCACACAACAGGTACTATCCTTACATTCCCAACATCATGCCCCACTAAGTACTTACTAACCTGATACGTGATGATTATTAATTAAACATTAATCTCAAGAAACATGTGGGATATATGTGAAAAAACAGATGAAGAGTCACAGCAAACTCAAGATGGGGCCATATCATATTTATCTTTGCTTCCTATCTTTAGTGAACCAAACTATCGCCAAATTATTAATACTATGGAATCTTGCTCAAGCTTCTTTATTTCCATATAGCTTAGCTGCCTCATCTGTAAAAAGGTGGTAATGATCTCTGCCCAGCCTATCTCTCCCTGTAACTATAAGGAATAAACGACATCATGAAGGTCAGAGGGCAATTAAATCAAAGTACTGAGAAAACAGGAAAGCACTATAATAAATGTTGTTAGTCAGTTCTTCCCACAGAATGGTCACATCTTCACTATTGACTTCATTTTTTCTAAAACTTCTAAAATCTAAAACTTAAGCTAACAACAACACGATCTTCCCTTTTTGGGTCACAATGGGTTGAAAATCTAATTTTGTATTTCAGCTATGCCATAGAAATTCAGATTGATCAAGTCCTTTTTCAGCCTCTAAGGTTTTAAGGGACAGGCAGGTATCATATTTTTCTTTGATTATTCTTATACCATGCTCACAAATGGGTCACAGTAAACCCGGAGAAAAAAAGGAAAAGAAAATTTGATAATGTGGTGGTTTCATATAGGAACAGAATAAATGTCTAACTCTTATCAAGAACAGCTGTTTCTTATAATGGTCCAGTGGATATTTCCTTGCCTACACTCCTGCCTCAGTTAAGAAATCAAACAAGAAACGAGTTACCAGCTACCAGGTCTGGCAAACAACTCAGCAATTCTAGCACTAACTGACTTTATGTAAATTCTCAACTTTCACCAAATAGCATTTCAGCAAGGCAGTAAATGAGTCCATAATTGTAATCGACTCCTGAGTAATATAATATGACCCATAAGATGGAGGTCATTTGAGGACCAGAAAGAAGAATAAGAAGCGAAACTAAAGACAGACAGATGAACTCTCAATCTTGATGAGAAAATTCAGCATGGTCTGCCACCCATCCAGCATTTTTTCACAAGCAGACTCTGGGCATGGGTGATAGGTTTTTCCACTGTAGTTACAATTTCATTTCACAAGGTAAAAGGCTCTCCTATCCAAGTGTAATAGGAAAACAGAGAGCCTGTCTCTCTGTGAATTACTAAAACACAGTTTGTGACAGCCTATTCTGCCAAGTCAGGCAGAAAGGCCACCCCATTCACTCCCTCAGACCTGCCCACCAGGGGGGCAATAAGCTAGTATAATAAGAAGTGAAGTAGAAAAGACCAGCTGGGCACAAAATGGTCCACAACCCAATGGCTTTTTACAAAAAGAGGGGTGTTGGCTTTTATTTTTTGGTTCTAGATACTTGTTTTTGGCCTGATCTCATGGAGAGTCTTAGGACAGAAACAGAGCATTAATTTCATTAATCTCCAATGAGATATGGCCATAGGAACAAAGTTATTTAAAAAAAAAGACAAAGAGGAATAAAATATATTAAGCAGATGGCTTAAAAAAAAAATCATTTCAAAAACATGTCTTAAGAAAAATGACCAGTCTAGATTCACAGTATATAACTGATTTAATGGAACAAATCTGGGTGGGGTTTTTTAAGTCTTTTTAAAATTTTATTCCTAGACTAGGACAATGCTTAGATATAGCTCAACTAATGCAGATGAATTTCTAAACAGACAAAATGGTCTTTTCCTCCTTTTACAGCAGTTGAAAAAGAACTACCCAGAATGAATCTAGACTCTTAATTTTATCCCAATCCTTAATCAAAATCACATGAGTGGGGGAAATGCTCTCATTCCACATTTATTAGGTGCCCACTAAATGTTAGTGGGCACTATTACAGCAGAGGGGAAATGTCCCAAGCAGGCCACAACCACCCTACCCTTCCGAAGACATGGAATTCACCTAAAACTCGTAAGCAAGGTCAACAGTTGCATTAAGAGGTCCTTTTCCTAGACCGCCATTTTGGTACTTTTCATCTAATCTGATTTATTTCAGAGCGTATTGAAACGACTCCAAAAAACGAGTGGCTGGTTTATCAGTACAGAGTATCAGGGAAGATGAACTATCAATGAGGAAAAGAAGTAAATTCTTTTCCATGTAATTTTGATTCTAGAAATATCAAGATGAGAATAGCTCCCAGCAAAATAACAGCTTGAGATACACAAGTCTTGTTAGACCGTGCTTGCAGGAAAGAACTGGACCAAAAGCCAACTCCCTTGTAGTCCAACTAGAAGAAAGTCCTGAGGAGGCGCAAGCCCTTCCCAGCCCTATTCCTGCTCATCAGCATGCGGGCTCGAACACAAGGCACCCCTTGTACACACCCTCTGGGATAAGATATTATGTTACAGTCACAGACTCAGATTGCTCAACTTCAACGAACCCTGCTGGTCTTAAAAAAAAAACCTGTCTGCTCTTTACTTTCCAGTTCCCACGGCAATTTTTCACAAAATCCAACAGGACAACTTTGCGCAAGTTTTCCTGGCTTACTAGGGTTTGAGAAAACTAAGCAGTAATTTAGAAAAGAATAGCGCTAACGACCACTCCCTATTTCAGACAAAGTAGCACTGTCTCATCAGCACCAATAATCCACTCTGCAACTAACAAAATGAACCCCCCCTCCCTGCGCAGGAGCACGCAACCCACTGTACTGACGCCCTGAGTCAACAGTACAATGTGTGCTGAGTGCTATGTGGCTGCAGTCGTATCCAACTCTTTGCGACCCCATGGGCCATAGCCCGCCAGGCTCCTCTGTCCATGGGATTCTCCAGGCAAGAATAGTGGAGTGGGTTGCCATGCCCTCCTCCAGGGGATCTTCCTGATTCAAGGATGGAACCCACATCTCTATGTCTTCTCCATTGGTAAGTGGGGTTTTAACCACTAGCACCACCTGAGAAGCTCGCTCAGCAGTACAATGAGACCTCATTTTTCTGAATCACAAATGGGTGGAGAGAAAGCAGATTTGGAAAAAAAAAAAAAATTGGGGTTTAGATTACTCAATAGTTTTTAAATTAAAGAGGGTATTTAGATGGGGGCAGTTGTCATGACTCTAAAAATAAATAAAGCCATGGACCTGATATCCATGTGAGTCTGAGGTGACTACATGGGCACATCAGCTCCCAGCATGTGAGGAATGGCAATCTCCATTGCCAAGGCAGACATTGTAAAAATACACTTGAAATGCACTCTAATCCCTAATCTATCAAAAGCTTACCCATCTCCAATGCCCAATTCTCTAATCACTGCCAAGCCAGAGATGATGTGTGTTTTCTCAGAACTCCAGTGGTATTTTCTGTGCAAAACACTCCAAGGGTATTTACCACACAGCAAGGTGAGTGTTTTTGCTATCAACTGGAGTTATTATTTCTTGCCACCCTAATAGCACTCAACAGGGCTTATCATACAAAGGAGAAACCCAGTATATGCCATGATCTGCCATAGAACTTTAGAAAGGATTTCACTGACTCATCCCTCAAGTTGAGAACACAGCAGATGACATGCAAAAATCACATATTTATGGATTTCGTGCCTAGATTTTTTTTTTTCTTTTGGTGATAGCATCAGAGGTAGCCATCATCTGGGGTTCTATCTTCCTCTTGTTTTAGTTCTCCTTATTCCTTTAGGCAAATTGAGTAAACCTGGGCCACAGAACTGATTGTTTAGCACTACCTTAAGAAAATACTGATACCTTTAAATGTACCTTTGATTTCATTTTTCTGTAGAAATACTCCAAAAGGCTCACCAAAAAGGGCTCTAAACATGTTTAAGTGATTTACTTTAAAGGAAAAATTGTTTTTAAAAGCCCAATTTCTGAAAGGCAACAGCTGTTGATCCCACCTCGTGTTCCCTCCTAATGCATTCAGAGTGACTCTTCAATACTGCGTGAGGGGTGTGCCCCTCCCTCTCTCCCCCGCACCCCCAGAGGTGCTCTTCACAGACCAGAATTCCTCTCCACAGCCAACCAACGGCTGGGCGCCAGCCTCTCGAGGGGGGGAGATGAGGCCCAGAAGCGCTGACAAGCCCTCCCCAGCAGCAGTGATGCAGAGCGCCAGAATAAACTCTGAAGCAGCTTCTCACGGTTGAAAGGACGAGGCACAAGCTGTTTTCTCACATCCTCTGCCTCTTAAGGTTACAACAGACCAGCCTCTGATCCAATTAAAATCCCTACAGTTTATGTTTTAGCAGAGAAGGACAAAGCAAAAATGACCTGTGCTTACTGGGAACATAACCAGCCATGTATGGCTGTGGTTGATAAATGAAGAGTTAAAAAAGATTAAAAATTTAAGTCATGACTGCCACGAAATTGTTTATTCATGGTAAGGTGTTTGGGGCAGTTACAGCTGTACAACAGTAAATTGTTAACAACCGTTTCCTGAAGAAAAATTTCCATTATAGATCACAGATAAGAGAGGAAACAGAGTGCAATGCTACTGGGAGATCAACGCTCCAGCAGATCGAGAATGTGTTAGATGCAAGTCAAGACGGCTGACCCTTCCCGGAAACCACGCTCGAGAAAAATGGTACTATGAGGAGGATGACATTTACCCTAGTTGCTGCATCTAATTAAAATTAGGTAATTTTTAAAATTTCAAGTGCACTTTAAATTTGATGTAGGGCATAATTAAAAAATCAGATTTAAAAAAATATCATTAGGGCAGCAGGGTAAAGGTTAGCAGACAAGAGGGGAAAAAACAGTTTAGCTTTGAGAAAACAGGAGGGAAATGGCAGTCTGTCAAAGTTATTACAGGGGGACTTTTTTTTTTTCTTTTTAAAGAACAGAACTTAACAACTTGGAACATCTGTGCCCTTGCCTTTCCCAAGTATGCCATGTCGAGCACACTTCTCGCGTCAGTCTTCTCCCCAGCAGGAACCAGGCTGGTGAATCAGCAAAATGTCAGTATCTTCAGAAAGCTGCCACTATTATTTTGAGTTGGCAGGAATAGAAAAAAGAAATCAGAGTTGTGTTTCCAGAAACAAAACAGGTGATGGCTGTATCAATACACAAGGTAATGGGTGACACTGCAACTCTGTCAGGGATGTAGTGAATCCTATAGGGAGAGACTCAAGGTTCACTAGAAAGGACACTGGACAGGAAACCAGGGGCCTGGGGTGCCAGCCTCCACCGCAACAGCCAGTGGTTCAACATCTGGATCTCAGACATGTTACTAACTAAATAAATAAGGCTTGGACGAAGTCATCTCTAAAATCCGTTTTGATTCTGAAAATCTGCCCTTCTGTAGTTAAGCTGAAATGTGAAGTCACAATTAGAACTCTTGGTTGCTAACTCTGGGAGGGCCAGTTAGTATCCTAAATAGGACTTATGCTAGATATCCACTATGTTTACTGATGGATGCTGCTTGAGCATCAATGCAGCCTACAGTTCCTGGGGGTTGAGCACAGTGCCTGATAAGCACTCAAAGCCATGTTTCTCAAATGAATTCACGAGACCCAGATTGAGCTCACCCAAAATAAGCTAACTGACTAGGGGTTCTCGTACCACCCAGAACCGCCCAGTGAACCCTAGGGAATATTCTCATCAATCTGGAGACTGACAGAGAGATTCTCCAGACTGTCTAACATTACATCAAGTATCAGAAACGGCTTAAGATCACCCTTCAAGAAGCCTGAGTTAAAATTATTCACTGATTTATTTCTATGAGAATTATCAGGCAGGAAAGAACCTAGTCAGACATGCTCTCAGGAGAGAGATTACCAGAAAGATGAAAATAACATGAAGCAGCAGCAGATCTCCCATGAATATCACTCAAGCAGACTAACTACATTTGTCTCTTACCTTCAGAAATCTGGATTCAAACAGAACAACTACTGGAAAAGAATTTGCTTTAATGACCATAACCACGACCACAGGCACATCAAAAACCTTTTCCACTAAAGCGGTTTCGTATCTGATAGCAAAGACAAAGAATAGAAAAGTTTTGGAAATCATGATTCAGCTTCAGCTAAAAGCAACATTTACTAAATACCTATTAAGTATCAGAAATTGCTTAGCACTCACATGAACTCCTTTAATCCTCTCAACAACACTGAAAGGCAAATGTTTACACACACAGGATAGGACATGAGTCTGAGCAAATTCTGAGAAACAGTGAACAGGGAAGCCTGGAGCGCCTCAGTTCATGGGGCCTCAAAGAGTCAGACAGACTGAGAAACTGAACAACAACAACAACACAGAGGAGCCTGGTGGGCTACAGCCCAGGGGATCGCAAAGATTCAGACATGACCAAGTGAGTACACACACACACACACATATATATTTTGAAATGCCACCCATGAATATACACAGTATCATACCCACAGAACAGTCTATAGCATTTAAGTCTTGAAAACAAAGTGAGAAACTAAATTCACAATTTTTAGATCCTTCAATGATTTAATGTTCTATGCCCTTAAGATTGTTAGACCTTAAGGCACCCAAGTCTGGTTATGTCCCAGTAACATAACTCATCTGCTTTTTTTTTTTTCCATTTATTTTTATTAGTTGGAGCTCATCTACTTTTGCAGACAAGAATACTAAGGGCTGGGGGTGGGGGGAGGACACCAAATTTCATACTAGAAATAAACCTGGGAGTCAAACCTAGATTGCCTATTTATGTCTAATGCTCAGTTAACAAACATTAAATGTCATGTGCACTCAGTCCTTTTTAAAGGAATTGGGAATATAGCAGTAGACAAAGTAGATAAAAATCCCTGTCTTCCTGGACAATAAATGTGAAACTAGAGGAAGGTTCATGGTCTCCTTTAGGCTCGGCTCCACTGGGCCATCTGTTAACAAAATGATGTCTAGATCAACAGATGCAAATCCTGCCTGGTCTTGCCTATATAATGGGCCCCCAAATCAAGACCCTGTAAAATTAATGCTGTTAATATAAGAACAGATACATCACGATGAATTCTAATACTAGTAAGAGCAAATAGGACAATTAAGGGTTGCCCAAGATTTATTAATAGATTAAAAGCCAGACTTCCGAACAAGTAAAAAGCAGCATGTGTTTCAAGAAGGGAGATAATTAGAACGGAAATAGAACACCAGACGTGACAGCAGACATCAGCAGAGACAAACAGGAGAAGAGAGTAAACGGCACTCCTCCACCAAGTCCGCCTTCCTACTGAGGACAGATCTGAAAGGATATCTGTATTATCATGTCCAAGCAGCCCGAGAAGAGACTGAACAGCATTCAGCTCTACCAGAAGGTGGTACAGGTCTGGCATGGTGGCCACCACGTGCATCTCCTGAATGATGTCATTGAGGTCCAGCTCAGATTCCATAAACCTAAGAAGGGAAAACAAGACAGCATCATTGCAGGGGAAGGGGTACCATCAGTAGTGAGGAACAGACAGCAACATAATCCAGACAGAGAGACAATCTGTCAAAGCATCTTCAACAGACCAACCAAGAAGAATGCTCATCCAAACATCATACTGTCACACAATTTCCTTGGGAAATCGATTTCCTCATTACAAAAATCAATCTTGGATTCAGATCTGATTACAGGGTTCCCCTTATCCTTGCAGTCACAAGTTCCCTTTCAGAGGCTCCGAAAGCATTCTGCCACATTCAGTGATCTATCTGCCCACCCGTTCTGTGGACTGGTTACCATTACTCCTTGGAATGGCAATTCATTTTGTGGCCCTGAAGGTAGTCATCCTGCTAATCCAAAAAGGACTTCTCTCTCCTGTCACTTCAGATCAAGGGCCAATTATCCCCCTTATCCAAAGGAAAATACAGATTCTGCTAACATCCAGAAATACCTCCCTCCACCCTTTCAAATGAGCTAATAAAGAGGAACATCCCAAAGTAAAGCAGATAAAGTCTGGCATTCCATAACCCCATACCTTAAGTAGCATAATACTTCACTCACATTTCCACACCTGAACCTTTCGGCCAACCTACACCCCAGCACTAAGAAAGAACTGCTTTGCATTCATCCCGCATGCCCTTCCCAAGAGTCTGACATTGCAGAAATGCCCAATAAGCCTTTGATGAGCAGGACAAGAAAGTTTGTTCTGAGAAGACAATGAGCGAATCCATGTAAAGCAACTGAACAAGACCTGACTGAAAGGAATCAGTGGTTAAACAGACTCTGGAGCCAGATGGCCTGGCTCTGAACCTCACTTACCCACTTACTTAGCCTCTCTATGCCTCAGTTTCTTCATCTGTATAGTAAATGGAATAATGAAGTTACCTATCTCATGCTGCTGCTGCTAAGTCGCTTCAGTCATGTCTGACTCTGTGCGACCCCACAGACGGCAGCCCACCAGGCTCCCCCGTCCCTGGGATTCTCCAGGCAAGAACATTGGAGTGGGTTGCCATTTCCTTCTCCAAACCTATCTCATAGGCTACTGTAAAAAGTTAATGAACAAACACACATAAAGCACTTTAAAAATGTTTGGCATGCAAAAAGCACAATACGTTTGCTCTCATTTCCATTACTATAATTATTATTTATAACATGTCTATCTTCCCTTCTAGGATGTAAGCTTCTTAAAAACAGGAATTATAAGAATGGATACATGTATATGTATGGCTGAGTCCCTTTGCTGTTCACCTGAAACCATCACAACATTTGTTTTTTTTTTCTTTTTTCATCACAACATTGTTAATCAGCTATACTCCAATACAAAATAAAGTTTAATAAAAAATAAATAAAACACACCAAAAAAATCAGAAATTAGATCTTTTGTCTCTACATAGCCACAGATGCCTGCTAAAGAAAAGGAATGCAAGCAGGGATTCTTGAAGTCATAAAGGACTCATCAACTAACAGGTACCAAGGAACTGGGCAAACACCATCTCTCCAGAACTCAGGAGATTCTTCAAGAACAAAATCTAAGACTACCATTTTTTAAAACATGTCCATATTTTATACAATATCTTACCACTGTTTCTCTCCATTATTATTTTTATTCATAACATTTATGCATATATATATATTTTTTTCTAATGATAAAACATTAATTTTTCTAAAAAAACTGGGGAAAGATAAGCCCTCAAAAAGTAAACAGAGATCTTAAAAATGGCAAAAATAAAGAAAAGTAAACAGAAATCATCTATAACTTTATTAACCAGAAATAACCACTGATAATACTCTGGTAAGATTAAGTGATCGTTCTCAACTCATAGCTTTCCCCCTACCCAAAAGCAGCCTACATAGTATACAGTTCTAAATACGATTTTTGCTTATTGTTGAAAGCATAGGCTGAACAATTCCTCTTATCATTAAACATTCTACAATAGGAAAAGTCAGTGTCCAGCACACCTGTCAGTCCTTCCTCTCCCATGGCAAAATCCCACACTAAGCACAGCATTGCCCCCGCAGAGCCCAGACAAGACTTCAGAATCCTTCTCAACACTGTGTTTCAATGACAACAAATGATACTAAGATACATGTATTCATAGTTATAGTGTATAAGTTTGTTTCCCCTCACCCTCTTCAAAAAAAGTATTATATATTTAAAATCTCCAATTTGAGATGGGAAATGCAACTTTTTAAAATTTTGCTTTTCTTATATCACAACGGTTAAAATTCAATTACTGTTTACTAGCTATCTGTATTTCTTCTTTGCCCATTTTTCTACCAGGGTGTTCATCTTATTTATTGATTTATAAGCACTCTATATATTAAAGAAATTAATCTCTGTCATACATTGCAAAAAAAAAAAAAGAGAAAAATATTTGCTCTTTAATTTGTACATTGTGCTTTTTCACATAAAGGTTTTTAATTAGGGAAATTTTTGCCACACGAACTTTATTTTACATGTATTCTGAGCAAGGTTTTCTCTATGCTAAGATCAGATATATTTTATGGTGTACTTTTATGTTTATACATTTTTAAATGTTTAGGAGTAATAAAACTAAGATTTATTTCAGAGTATAATATAGGGCAAAGATCTAATTTTATTTCTGCAAAGGTCTGGCCCATTGTCCCAGTACCATAATCTATCTTTTATCCACAGATTTGAAGAAATGCCACCTCTATCATACACTAAATTTTAATGCATACTCTAATCTGTTTATGGGCTTTTCACTCCATTTCATTGATTTGTCTGCAAATTCCTGAGCCAGGACCACACTTCCATAGTGTTACAGTATATTTTATGTCTGTTACTGCAAAACACTCCCATACTAGCCTTCTTTTTAAATGCTCCGTCTGTCCTCAACTGTTTATTATTCCAAGTAAATTTTAAAATTATTTTTGTCAAGGCCCCCTGATACCATTTTTTCTAAAAAAAGTCTCCTTCCACAGTGCTTACAAACAGATTATCTTTTAAATCACTAGTTCCCCATCACTTCAAGTGTAGAAGGCAAATCAGAATCATGACTTGGAAGAGCTGGTGCAGAATTCAAATATTCTATGGGGCAGCAGATCTATATAATCTTCTTTGCCTTACGTGGTAATTAAAAAAAAAATCTGATTTCTTGAGAGTAACTTGACAAAAGATTTTTACAGCTCACCAGGAAGAATTAGCAAGGGAGACTGGGCAGCTAGTAATAAACAAACCATGCTGAATACAAGGAAGCAATTGGGGGGATTTGAGTGATAATGAATGAATGTCAGCCTGGAGAGACACTTCCGGTGGTACCCTTCAGAGCTCCATCCTTAAGTCTGTTTAGATCAACTATAGTATTTTACTGTTATTTTTTGACCCACGACTTGGGTGAAGATACATAAAAGGCAAACTTAACAAATGCCATATAACATAAAGCTTACAATGAACAATTACAGCTTACAGCTGACAGAATCAATTCAGAAAGTTCCTGACAGGAAATGATAACGGGTCAAATCTAACAGGAGGAAAATTACCTAGGATCCACATGGAGAATGCACTGAACCAGAAAGACAAGAATACATGGATCAGGAAAGACAGTATAGTAAGTGGAAAAAAGTGAAAAGTCACTCAGTTGTGTCCGACTCTGCAATCCCATGGACTGCAGTCCACCAGGCTCTTCTGTCCATAGTAAGTGGACATATGTGGGAAGGACTGGATGATTTTAAGTCAACAGTGATCACAACGCAGCTCAGACCATGAGACAGCCCTGCCAGGAGACAGACTACTCTTCAGTCCTCTCTGGACACCCAGCACTGGGCGCACTCCCTCCTCCACTGCTAAAATTTCGCAGGCGCCTGCCAAAGGGAGAGGAGGAAAGCTGCTGCCTCAGATGCTACCATGGTTTTAGGCTGCTTAAAAGAAGAAAACAGATAGAGTTATGCTGACTGGATGGCCTAAAAGTTTGTGACATCTCTTATGGGAATCTACTTTGTGAGGGATGAAAGTGTAAGTCGCTCAGTCATGTCCAACTCTTTGCAACCCCATGGACTACAGAGTCCATGGAATTCTCCAGGCCAGAATACTGGAGTGGAGTTATGCAAACTAAATAACTTGGGGAAGCAACTGAGATCATAAGGAGTCTAACTACCCTCTCCCATGAGGATCTGTTGAAATTCTTTTTCATTCTGAGTTGAAATCTTAAGAGTTCAGAGCTGCCAAATGATGAGATAGGTTTCTTTGGAAAGTTATACCTTGTCACTGGGGGTAATTAGTAAAGGGTGATATTTTTAAAAATCAATAATTAGAAGGGAGAAATAGACTTGTACTTTCCAGTCCCTTCCAACTTTGAAATTCCTCTTTCAAATATGCAATCCTAACCAAATATCTTTAAGTTTAGGAAGCCAGAAAATTATCAAAACAAAATAAAACCAGCAGAAAGTCAATTGTGAGCAGGGACATAGCATAAAAATACCACTGGGGTCCTGTGTTACAAGAGTAGTGTGATACAGTGAGAAATGCCTGGACTTGGGAATGAGACTGACCTGAGTCAGATCCAGCCTGTGTAACCATTAGCAGTGTCTTACTAAGTATTAATGGGTGCATACTAGGTGTCCATATAACAGATAACAATCCCAGTTGCTGTCCTCACTGAACTCCTACCTTAGCACAAATATAAATAATCTATTGCAACCAATTAGTAGCAAGAATATCCAGCACTGCCCAAGAAAACTGCCCCTGGAACACAGAGCACCAGACTCCAACCTTGTCAAGGAAGACAGAGAATATTAAGTAACCTACTTCTAAAACTCAACTTCCTTAATCATTCCCTCTGAATTATAGTGAGGATTAAAAGAGATAATCAAGTTCCTATCAATTGTTGGTAGATAGTAGGTAATCAATGAATCTAGATTCCCTCAAGTTTGCTATGCTATAACAAAGAAAATTCTCTTTTTGCTGACAGAAGTACAAGCCGACTCATTTTTAAGCACACGCTACAGTATT